TCTGGTGCATGAACTTATTACCATTTACTCACCCTCATGTCATTCTCAGTGACTTTTTCTGTGGAACACAAAAGAGGGTGTTTTAAATAATGTTGTTAACTAATCAGTTTCCTTTCCCATTGACTTTCAATGTATGGACACAAAATACAACATTATCAACATTCTTCAAAAATATAATCTTTTGTGTGGAATGGATATTTACAATGTTCAAGAATTTCCAGCTGGATTTGAAATTCAACTGTTTTATTCTCAAAGAGAAGGGGAAAGGAAAAATAAGGATCGGTTTTGTGAGGCCTTTTGTGAAAGGATCTCTCTTCAAAACAACTCTGTATTCATAGTGGCACAAAGACAGTTTTGAAAAAAAGGGCTCTTATGAGTTCGGGACATTGGAGGCTAGTGGTGGGTAATGATGCTATGCAGTCTAACTGCCTAGGCCTATTTCATGCATGTAGGTTTCGTGGAATGTGTGCACATATTTCCACATTTTCACATGTTGAGCAAAGACATGACACCATCTAATCTAGTCTGCGACATCGTCTTTTTGCTGAGAAAACCTATTGCATATTTTTAGTCATACTCTGGTGTCTGGTGCATGAACTTATTACCATTTACTCACCCTCATGTCATTCTCAGTGACTTTTTCTGTGGAACACAAAAGAGGGTGTTTTAATTAATGTTGTTAACTAATCAGTTTCCTTTCCCATTGACTTTCAATGTATGGACACAAAATACAACATTATCAACATTCTTCAAAAATATAATCTTTTGTGTGGAATGGATATTTACAATGTTCAAGAATTTCCAGCTGGATTTGAAATTCAACTGTTTTATTCTCAAAGAGAAGGGAAAAGGAAAAATAAGGATCGGTTTTGTGAGGCCTTTTGTGAAAGGATCTCTCTGTATTCATAGTGGCACAAAGACAGTTTTGAAAAAAAGGGCTCTTATGAGTTCGGGACATTGGAGGCTAGTGGTGGGTAATGATGCTATGCAGTGGCGGATTTAGGCATGGGCGACATGGGCAACCGACCAGGGGTGCGTTTCCCAAAAGCATCGTGATCTAACTAGTTAGTTCCATTGAAATCTATTGATAACGACGGAATTGCGACCATAGTTGCTTTTGGGAAACGCACCCAGGGCGGCATCTTGCACAAGGGGGAAAAAAGGTGGTTTTACCGCTCATTTGCACCACAAGCCAATATCATGTCACCTTGTGCGTCAATTAACCTGGTCGGGACTCGGCGTGTGCGACCGGAGAAGTAGCCTCACTCAGACGCAAAGGCGGAGGGTGAACCAGATCCAGGTTAAGTCTATAGCCTGTTTAGCCTAAAATTAGGCACACCACAAACCCGTCATTTTGCCAGATATGGGTGTTATGTCATAAAATATTTGTTAATACTAGGCTACTAAATTTGTATTTAACCGGATGACAATTTTAAAAAATCATTATGCTTTTATGTCCACCGTTTTTCAAGCAACGAATAAAAGCGAACAGAACATTTACATTATCAGAGAACATTGCTGTCTTAAGTCTAGCCAAGTTTAAACTATCAAATAATAGCCTATATATACTGTATAGGCCTATCACTTATGTTATGCTATGCTATTACACACAAGGGCAGCAACATTACTTTTTCTGACCAACTAGCTTACATAACCAGACAATATGTAATTTTGTAATATATTGTATTTTTTTAACAAACGTAGCATCACTCACTTTATTAATGCTTTTGCTGTACAATTATGCGTTTATATATTTGCCTCAATTTGTAATAATTTAAATATATAGATTAATACAGGCAAAAGTATAGGGACACACGCACACGCACGCACACGCACGCGCACACACGCACACACACACACACACATATATAGCGCCCAGGGCGCTAGAACCGACACTGATGCTGTGTTAATGTTGCCCTCTTGTGGTTCTCTGGTTAAAAAAAAGAGAGAGAGATATTTAGGTTGCAATGTTGATTATTGAACACATGAGGGCACACACTGCTAAAATTCTGATGACTTTATCAAAGGACAACCAACCGTTTTTTAACTACAAGAGAGTGCTAATATTGCATCATATCCACAGCCCCAAACCTCTTGGTTCTTTAGATGGAATCTGTTATTAATTCATTGTATATATGTTGGTTTGCCTGTTGCACAGTTGACTTTCATCAATACCTTGCCTTAACCTCCCACCGTATGTATAGAGCATGGATTAAGATAAATACATACATATTAGAATTATGCCTTTAGAGTGCAAATCCCTCCCTTTCCAGTGGGCCAAATCAATTCCCAACTGTACCCTCCAGAACTATGTGAGTAATGTAAAGCATATACGTCTATAAATAGAAGGTGTGAAATGCACGGGAGTATCAAGGCTGATTTATTGGGCAGGCTTTTGAAGAGTTAAACGTGACATACTCCCCATTCTTGTTTCCAAGAGAAAATCAAGCAAATCGAGAGCAGTTGTGTGGGTGAGCTGGTGAGGGGTATAAGTGAATGGAGGAAATTCCACGTCTCCTCACTGATCTGAATGAGTTTCTATAGACCTGGATACTTAACTTGGCAACATGAAAATCATGGTAATTGTGTGTTCAAATATATGTTTTTAAAGGGGTTCTGACCTTCTGTATGAAAGCATCACATCCAAACCAATATAAAAAAATCTAATGTTTTGCTAACGTCAAGTTATGAAAAAGATATTTCTGAATGTCCAGGTTTTTATTGGTTATGTGAATGTTACAGAAAACATTTAGGGAATGTACAATTTTAGTTTAAAGTTATCTAATCTTTAATAATGTTCTCAAAACAATAGGACAAAAACATTATCATTACATTGTTCATGGAACGTTTTCCTGAAACGTTTTAGTTTGTCTAACATTTTTTAAATGTTACTACTTGTTTTAGAATGTTTAGAGAATATGCAAAAGTAACATTCAAATAATGTTTGCAAAATTATGAAATGGAATGTTCCCTTACCAAATGTTTTTTTAACCAAGAAAAAAAAGTTTTTAAAACAATTTTAAAAGTGGACAATTTGAATGTTCAGAGAACATTCAGAAAAAATTACTTTGAGAGAACCTTGCCAGAACATTAGCCAACGTTCTGAGAACATTTCCTGTTTGCTGGGATAAAAGCTGCTGGGCCTAATATTTTAGTGTGTGACATAATTGCACTGAATGGGGCAGGTGCATCATCCTAATGATGCTGTCAGCCAAAATAAACACTCCAAGACATTTCCACTGAATCTGCTTCAGTTTTTAATAGGTCTCTCAGTTTTTGATAGGTCCATTTCTGGTGGAACTGGAAGATAAGTGGGCTGTGTTCACCCATGACAGAAGGTCCTGGAAATTAGTTAAAGTTTGGCACAATCATAAGCCCTCTCTCTCTCTCCAGCAGTCACGGTATTAAATTAAACCTGGCCAAAGCCTTGAGAGGATTTTGCGCCTTCACAGTCTCCAAGCGTCCCATACCTGGTTGCGCTTCAAATCGCTGGTAACATGGCTGTGAATAAATCCTGTTCATATGTAGGTAAGTCATGACAAACCCTGTTGACAGATAATTGCCTATAGTTGACAGTGTGTTGAAAACTTCTGACTTCAGTTATAAACCGTACCAGAGGCATTTTTACAGAACGGTTATGCTCTGTCCGGATAACAACATGCTGCTGACAACTGTAAACTGTACATGTACTTGTATGTTAAATAATATTAAATAATTTACTATGCAGAGTGCTTGTGTAGGTGACATTTATTAGAATTTTAATTATAAATATTTATATGGCTTATATTTAGACATTAATAGAAATATTTTGTTTTGAATAAAATATAGCAAATTGTTTATGTTATTGGTGTTGAATATTGTTTCTGCAAATAGATTGTGTTTTTTACTATGTGTGATCAAAGAGTTATAGGAAGAGTTGTCTTTGTAGGTCTCTTTTTGAGGTCTTTTAAAGGTTAAAGGTGCATCCTTAACCCTGTGTAGTCATGTTCGTGGAGTAAGATCTATATAAATGTTAAATGTATGGATATTAACTGCTATTAAAACTTTGTTTCCCATCAACAGAGGTGCATAGCTGTGTTCTGAATGGAGTCAGCACTGCCTTGAGTGAGTCCTCCTCTGTCTGGAGTGATTTAAAGGAAGTATCTGAGACTGAAGTCATGAACTCCATCAGCTGCACCTTTGATGATCCATTTGATTTCAGTGAAGAGTCTTGGGATCAAGTGAGTAGCCTGCTCAACATGTCTATGTGGCAAATAAACTTTTTTAACATAAGTTTTTATGAGTTATGTGTTTGTAGATTACTTTAAAGAAATAAAGCATCAGAGCCTCATAATAGGTGTCAAGAAGTTGGCTATAACAGCACTAAAATTCTCCTAAACCACTAAATAACAACAAATGCCACAACCACAACACTTTCCTAAGCACCTGGACAAACTTTCCTGATGTATGAGGTCATATTATGTAATGATAAAAAATTAAGGTAATTTTGATGTATTGTACATTTTAATCAGTTTTAAAATGTTGCATATTTATGTTGCTAGTGGCTAATGAAATTAGCTTGAATAAATTAATATGAATTTATTCAAGATGATTTCAGGGATTCTCACTGCTAGGTTGACAGAGAAAGATGCAGAATGGATGAACTACAACAAATTTATGAAATATGTCTACACCACAAGCTGTCTGTTCACTAAAAGTAGAAAAAGGAGGAGTTTGAACACTTTCTAAGTGTCAAATGTGATTGAAATGAGCAGGAAATCTAAAAAAAAATAGAATTTTTCAAAAGTATTTGCACATATAAATATAAATATATCACATTATTTTTTTAAATTCTAACCTTATGTTTTATTTATTTTATGTGTTGCTCCATCAACGCTATTTTTTTTCTTTATAAATATTTTTTCTTCGTTACTTTATTCATTTAGAAGTAAGCACATTGTGCTTATGGGGGCATTTAGCCCCCCTGATTCCTATATATTAAGCTCAAACCAAGCGCTATTTAACACAGATTCACGGTGCAATAAACGGGTGTGATAAAAATGTGACATTACGCGTAATCCCCTCCGGCGCGTAATGATGCGCTCTGGCGCTTGGAGACTCGCGGGTATTCCTCCAGGGACGATTAGTCAGGGACAAATCAGAAGTTTCTGTGGAGATGCGTTCTGTTGTGCGTGAAGCAAAGCTTTGCGCTTCCCAGTCAACGGTGCCAAAATCAGACAGACGGATGGATTTCATGCTTTGCGAGATCGATGGATAAACAGAGGGAAAGATGGATGGTGGCGTCTCTAGTAGGGTGACATCAGAAACGTGCATGCCACCAGAAACGCACACAATTTTCCAGGAACGCTGAGAAACTGTTGCTGTTTCTTATTGTTTTTGTGTTTTTATTTAAGTGTGATAACATGCTGCAGACAACTGACAACAAGATACACGTGAGTATGCTTTTGATTGTTCATGAGTAGTACTACTAGAATACTAGCAGCAATACTCAAACAGATTAGCATTAGTTCTATAGCCAGAACATTGAATGAAGGATAACCGAGAAATAATGGCATGAATGAAAATTGTCTATTGCTTTCATACTTTCAATCTAAATGGAAGTGTATTGAGAACAGCCAAATTAAGAAGCAATAGTCTGACCTACATCTATCCTCACCATACTCCCTCCCTCCTTTCTCCTAAATTGAATTTGATATGCACGCACACTGCTGATGAACACTGAGCCTGGGTACATTGTATTCTCCTCTCACCTGTTCAGGTGGCCAATAACCTGATGGACATGGACCAGGACCCTCGCAAACGGCTGTGCTTTGCTGACGGCCGAAGGAAAGTGGACTATGTGCTGGTGTACCACTATCGAAAACGCTCCTCCGTCAGGGGGTCTCCTAGTCAACACAGACTGTCCATCATCTCCAATGGTAGTTATCCTTTAGGAGTGGAGGAAAAAGACCCAGAGGGAGGGAAGGATGAACCTGCAGAGGTGGTGGTGGACGTCGAACCCCTAGACCCTGCTGATGGGGAGAAAATCATGATCCGAGAGGAGTTCGAAGGCAATTTAAAGGATGCTGGGCTGGAAATTGAGTGTGATAAAGAGGTGAGTAGAAACTGAATAAATCTTATTTGTGCTGGTTTTACATGCCATTTGAGAATGAACTGATTTTGCTTTAGCCAGATGCATCTAAGTGCGTTTTTGGTCTTTTTAAGGGCCACATCTGGTGCTGATTTTATAGAAAGCTGTCACTTTAGATCAGTTGAGTCGTGCCTTGTCAAAAACAATATCAGTCATGTGACCACTTCTATTCATATTCTAGAAATTTTAGGAAATAAGATCTTGACCATGAAAATTGACTCCAGTTCGGTTTTCATAAAGACTGTTTCCTTAATAGTGTATGTGTGTGGGTGTGTGTGTGTGTGTGTGAATTGTGAGCTAGTCGGTCTTTCCAAGTCTTACTACGCAGCTTAGTATTGGATAGAGTTACCATTTCACAGGGCATCAGACCAACTTGGGAATTATCCGTGTATCATTGTTTTGTTATGTAAGCCATTACTTTTAAAGATGGCCCATTATGGAGTAATTGGTTTGTATTTGTATGGTATTATTAATGGTCCCAAATAAACTCTTCTTCATCTGTTGCTAGTAAGCTTGTTTTTATATCATATCTGGGGAATCAGGTGAACTCTCCTTACTTAAAAAGCTAATGGACATGCATTCTTGTCTAAAGAAAAACTCTCTTGTAGAATATAGCAGAAAACACGTTGTTATTGTGCATCTGTTTTGTGATTGTTTTGTACTGCATGTCTTCATCTGTAGGGTGATTAGACCATGAATGCTTGTGGTGTGAAGCCAAGTAAGATTATCAGGGTGGTAATAGTAGTGATTGTCTCCTCTCTCTCAGAAGAGCTGTGAACCTTTGACAGCACACTGAGTTAACTGTACTCTAGCCTGAAAGGGACCAAATTTCTTCTCCAAATTTAACGCTTTGCTATTTGTCGTTGTTGTAAATGATAGATACCCCTTTTCAACTCGGACATAATCATCTGAGTCTGAGGTGTTTTTTTTTATCATGCATCGTGCATTTAAAAACACAGAGATATTAAACAATGCACTCCATAGCATCGTTTCCCCATGGGAAGCCTAGTAAGGTGACAAAATGTGCATGCAGTGACAAGCTTTGTCATGATGGCTTTCAACATCATCATCATTCAACAGTCTTCTCCTGGTTTGTCTGATCACAAACATTGCATAATGTTTTGCCCCAGCCAGTGTTTTCTGCTCTCTGACCTCTACAAATACCTGCGGTCAGACGCTCTGAATTATTCAGCCGGTAAGTGAAGTTTGATTGAAGACAGTCTGAACAGGGGCAAGCGGGTCAAGTCACACATGGCATGTTCCTCTTACCTCGGCACATCGTTAGCATTTACTATCACTCTGGCTGAATATGCTATCTCAGATAGATTCAGGCATGTGAGGTGCCTGGTGGATTGACTTCATAGGGAGTGAAGTTTTGTTTTGAATATCTTCAATGCTCAAGGGGATGTCACTACTGCTGGTATCATGTTTCAGTGGCCGCGTTAGCTGTGTTTGTTTGTCTTAATAGCCCCGGTCTGATGGATAACATTGGCTTTCTATGGTGGCAATAAAAAAGCCTAAAAACAAAACAAAACAAAAAAAACAGAGGGAAGACGTGGTGAGAAGACTTTTCCTGCACCTTTCTCAATGGTATAAATATTCATGCATGATGCATTTAAAGAGAGTTAATTAAAGATGAAAGATTCAGCATTCTTATCCACTTTAGATGTGTTCTCAACATCATTGCCTGCAGTAACAAGTAAACCATCATCATGTTCGCAAGTCTCTGATGTAGAGTCTCTAGTCTCATGTCCTTGAGGTGGAGTACAAATTAAGTTACAAGTCTCTTTTTTATATATTGCAGGCTAATCTGAGTAACCTATAAATGCACTCAATAGAAAATTTTCCCTTAGTAAATGAATGGGTAACTATGGTAACTGGGATTTGTTTTCCCTCAAGCCAAACCATGCTAAACCTACATTTTACATTATATATTTTAATTTTTCTAGAATACTTTATGTAGTATAATTTCATATATACATGTATTTTCTAAAGTAGATGCCAGTGCTTCTCTCATTATCATTGTCCGTAAACCTTTGGACTGTAAACCAGTTTTAGTCACCATGTTGAAACGCTGCTGTGTAATACAAAATGATGCATAATCTCACAAGAGTTACGGCATGCAAAAGAGTGAAGTGACATGTGGCCAAGTATGGTGACCCATACTTGGAATTAGTGCTCTGCATTTAACGCAGCTGCAGCACCCGGGGAGCAGTTGTGGGTTCGGTGCCTTGCTCAAGGGCACTTCAGTCATGGTATTGAAGGTGGGAGAGAGCACTGTACATTCACTCCCCCACCTACAATCCCTGCCGGTACGAGACTCGAACCTGCAACCTTTGGGTTACGAGTCCAACTCTCTAACCATTAGACCACGACTTCCCAAGAGACTCCCTTTTATCTGAACAGTGTCTTCTTGTGGACCTAAAGTCTGTTCGCAAGTCTTTAATTTGTAGTCTCAAGGCAAACTGTTTAAGTTAGACTTAAGTTTGAGTCTCAGACTAGAGTTTGCAATTCTGGTGTAAGCCATGAATTCTTAGGAGATGTTGAGACAGCGATGTTGTTTCTCAACTCTTAGTTTGAGTTAATTATACCAAATGTCAAAGCAAGGTTCAATCTGCCATGAAGAACCGTTTCCACTCATGGGTCTTCGGGAGTCCCTCAAATGTCAGTCGCAGCCAGTTTCTGAAGTGATGGCTCCCGCTCAGACTGTGCTCAAATCAAGCTAATTGCCTTACCCTGCTGAGATGAAGTACTAATTGGAATATCTTATCCTAATTAACCTTCTCAGATCCACATGTTATTTTTATCTCTCCTTTGTGAGTGTGTGTGTGTGTGGAGGGGGCAGAGAAAAAACACCCGTCGTGTTGGAACGCAGGGGACGGTGAGGATGTCCTCAGGTTTCCATAATCTCTTTCTGTCTCATCACTCTCATCTCATCCAGATGTCTCTTTCAGTTTCATCTTCCTTTCTTCTTAACACATGCTTCTCTAGATGGCATGGCTGACCACTGCCAGACAGATACGGTTACTGTCATCTCTGTATGGGCACGACGCAGCTTCAGTGTTAGGTTTCATGGCTACAACTTGCAAAAAGAGATCATTTCCATACCCCCCAAGTATATGTAATATATATAGTCCCTCTTTAGGGGCTCTTGGATGGGCTTGATGACAATCTGCCACTCTTTTGACATTGATACTGCCTTTTCTAGGTTATTTTCAATTTATGTGTTTGTGTTTGAATGCTGCCGATTACCACAGGCAATAATTTCCACAGTATGTTTAAACAAATGTGAAATGCATTTACAGTAAAACACTTAAAAACCTAAGAGGCAAGTGGTCAGCACTGCAAATTAGTGCCTAAAATATGCAAATATAACACTTCTGAGGCTGGTGTAATTGATCTATAAACTAGAATGGTCTCACCTCTAAAAGGGCAATTTAGTCAACTTAAAACTTAAAATGCATGACCCAAAAACATACCTCGCATAAAGGGCATGTACTAGATTGAGTAGTTTTCTTTAGAGAAAAGGCATCCTTTTTTATCTGTATTTTCAATGTAATGAAAACATTAAAGAATTTGATTATACACAAACATTTCAATAATATTAATTTGTTAATTTGTGGACACTCTAGAAATAATGCGCGAAGATTGTACCTGTAGGGCTCCAACAGTTTGTCACTGGGGCAATAGCTTTAAAGTGACGTCTTTGTACCTTAATTACCCCTAAAAGGGTTCAGAGTAGTACCTTAAAGGTCTATATTACTGATGAGGTAAAAAGTTGTCCCTTTAAGGGTACTGTCTTAAGGTACAGTTTTTGCATATTTTGACAGTGCATGTACTTATACAATAAAAATTCAATTAAAGTGAACTAATTACCAAAATATTGTCAAAATTCAATAGGAAATGCATATGGGTCAGCATTTATCTTGTCTTAATTGGCCTGAACAGAAGTTTATTTTAAGAACAGGTCACTTATGCTTCAGAACTATTTTAGTTTCTCTAATTGTAACTTTTTATTCATAAAATGACAAAAATCAACTTGGAGACAGTATGTCAAGACATTTCTTTTCAATTCTTTCCCCAGAACAAGGCTCATGGTCATGCTTTCATTCGGCTACATGCGCCTTGGCAGGTGTTGAGCAGAGAGGCAGAGTTTCTCAAGATCAAGGTGCCCACCAAGAAGGTAAGACACAGCAGAGCTCCCTCTGAATCTCAAGACAAACCCGAGGCCCTTTGGATGTCTTAATGTGAGTTCTCCACAAGCCCTCAGAAGTCCCTGCATGCGTTATGTAGTGTGTCTCTCTCTGATGTATGTAAGGGAGAGGGGGAAAAGCACAAACGACTGATGCTGATTGTTGGTCTAATGCTTTACTGCTAATTTTGACCATAAAGACTTTGTCTCTTGTTCAGAGTTATGAGTTGAGGGAAGAAAAAGGTCTGGCTGCCACCATGAATGAAGTGTGGCGGAAGTTAAATCAACCGTTCCAGCCCAAAGTACCCCATCAGGAGCAAGAACACAGCCGTACCAAGTTCCTTTCGCACTGTTTCTCCCGGGACAAGCTCCACCTGTGAGAACCTGCCATGGTTGGGGTGATGTGGGGTTAAATGTCATCAGTGGCCACATGGGATTTTGTTCCTTTCTAAGAGGACTTGACAGGATTTGTTTGATTGCCAAAGGAATCTGTGTAACTCATGGAAAGTCTCATCGCTATTTTTGGCCTTTTTGCAGGTACAACATCAATTCAAAGGACACCTTCTTCGACAATGCCACAAGGAGCCGAATAGTGAGTTTCTTTTGCTTTGCTCATGAAAGTTCTGTTCAGCCGTAATGGTACAATGTGATACGTGTTCTCTGGATGTTGAAAAGAGAACACGATATACAAGAGGGAACAAAAGTTATTTGCTAGCAGCAGGAGACTGCCGTCTCTAGGCACCGTTCTAGGAAACCAATTCCGCCGGGGTTTTTTCCGGGAACAATTTTCAGGTTTCTTGTTTGCTTGTATCTCTCTCACTCTTTCTCTCTCACTGTCTGCCCCAGGTGTATGAAATCCTCAGACGCACCGCCTGCACACGGACCTGCCAAACCATGGGTTAGTAATACATTAATCCATAACCTAAGCACAAACTAGTGTTTGGGAAATCCTCAGGATAGTCAGGGCCAGAATGAGAGCTTTGGATGTGGGCACGGTGCAGTTGGAACAGGGTGCAACACAAGCCCATGCCATATGCTCCCTTGGACCGAGCCACTTCGCAGACGGACCACCGGGGGCTACATTGAGATCGAGGCTATCTGGCAGAAGGGATGGCTTGGTGCTCTCTTTAGTTCTCCAGCCATGCCCCTCCTTTTCTTTCTGTCTCTCATACTTTCTCTCGTTTGGTTTATGTACAAACTGAGTAAATTGGGTCATAAAGTTCTGGGATTGGGATCTGAATTGAAGCCGGGTCCATTGAGGTGGAAAGAGGGGGGCAATGGGTAGTGGTGGTCTTTCCAGCTTGTTGCTGGGGAGCTACTTTATTAATTGAGGGCTAATCACCAGAGCGTACGTGTCGTTCCTTTGAGGACTGATTAATTACTTTGATTAAAGCCTGTGTTCCACATGTCAGCTGTCTTCCGCCTCAAGGACTCAGGCTACCGGCTTTCCAAAAGCAATGAAGTTGGGCCATTTTAAAGTCAAAGCAGTCAATCATTATTCCCACAGATGATGTCGGGTATTTTAAGGTGCTTTTTTTTTTTGCCTCGCAGGTATCACCACACTGATAGCCAACGGGGTTTATGATTCAGCGTTCCCTCTACACGATGTGAGTTGTTTTTTCTGGATTCCTTTGCCATTCTATCTCCTGTCAGGTTGACTTGAAATTAGTTTTTGTATGATTACAGGGAGACTTCCACCCCAGTGGACAAGCTGAGGGGAAGAACGACAGACAAGTATGCCGCTATTGAGTAGCATTTTTATGCAATGAATCAGAAGGGAGAATGTGATTAAATTCTGTATTTTTGTTGTACTGGTTTCAGCTGTTACATGATGAATGGGCAAGATACGGTGCTTTTTACAAGTATCAGCCTGTTGATCTTATCAGGTAACTCTCAGATCACTTTGACACAGTGCTTTAGATCAGAGATGCCCAAACCAGGGCCTGCGGTACAGACTTGGCCTGACATGTCAGGAAAAAATTGGAAAAAGCATGCCATTCTTCATGCATACCTTAATTTCTTATTTATAGTTGGGGTAACACTTTATTTTAAGGACCAGTTCTCACTATTAACTAGTTGCTTATTAGCATGAATATTACTAGCACATTGGCTGTTTATTAGTACTTAAAATGCACATATTAATGCCTTGTTCTGCATGACCATATTTTAGATTCCTTAATCCACTCTATACCTAAACTTAACAACTACATTACTAACTATTAATAAGCAGCAAATTAGGAATTTATTGAGGCAAAAAGTCACAGTTAATAGTTAGTTAACAGTGAGAATTCGACCTTAAAATAAACTGTGACCATAGCTGGATATAATGCAACATTTAATTTTAGCACAATGTCCTCAATAACATTAGATTTTTGGTCTTTTGTAGTAAAATGTTTGGACACCTCTGCTTTAGATCAATACTTGATTGATTACCTCATGCAACGCAAAAACCCACTGTTTTCTGTGTAAACATTAGGAAGTACTTTGGGGAGAAGATAGGTCTCTACTTTGCCTGGCTTGGTGTCTATACTCAGCTTTTGATCCCTGCGTCTGTGGTGGGCATCATTGTGTTCTTCTACGGCTGGGCCACTGTGGAAACAAACATACCTAGGTATGTGCCAATAAAGCCCACTGAGGGCTGGGGACGGGTCCCTGTTGTGAGTGGGCATGCAACAGCTGCCAGCTTGAGAGTAACGGGCTGTGATTATTATATTCCGCTGATATTAAAGTGATAATTAGAATCATTTCATCTGATACATGGGATTCATTTATGCTAGAATTGCAAGTGCTGTAAGACTGCTCAGCATGCATTTGTGACTGAAACATCCCTGTGGGGAACGGGGAATATTGTGATCCTTTTAAATGTCAGTACTTGTTTGAGTACACCGTGAACCAGACAGTATTATTTCTGAGACCGCAGTGAATATTTCTGTCCAGTGCAGCCACATTTTCCGAGGTCACAAGATAAAATAGTGTTGCATTTTTAATTGATACTTTAGACATTGAGCCATGCTGATGGATAAACATGCTGCACCATATCAAGTCCATAATTAATTAATTTTATTGGACTGTTGCACGGCTATGTCTAATTGTGTGTGTGTGTGTGTGTGTGTGTGTGTGATTTTGTGTGCTTTTCTGCCAGCCAGGAGATGTGTGATGAGGATCAGAACTTCACTATGTGTCCCCTCTGTGATCGAGCATGTGACTACTGGCATCTCAGCACAGCTTGTGGCACGGCACGTGCCAGCCATCTCTTTGACAACCCGGCTACCGTGTTCTTCGCCATCTTCATGTCCGTCTGGGGTACGCCTCAAAATTACTCTCGTTTCATTATCTCTCTATCTATTGTTTTACGCCATTATCTACACACATTGATCTGATGGTTCATACTGTACATCAACATATGATTAGCTTACACTCTTTAAAATAAAGGTTCCAAAAGGGAGATTTCGGGCAATTCCATTACGGAACCTTTATTTTAAAGAGTGTAAGTTAATCATATGTTAATGTACAGTATGAACCTTAGTCCACTACATCTTTATTTTTGAACACAAGAATGACAAACCTAGTTTAGATATTACCCACTTTTGTATATTATTTACGTGAAGAGCTGCCTTAGATTCATTCAGTCCTGTATATGAGACCAGTTTGAGCCGCTAGCATTAATGTGCAGAAGTGCTGCTGTCTCCATAGTGATGGAGCTGAAGAGATGTTGAATAGCCAGAGAGTAGTGTTACCTCTTTCTGTCACTGCCTGCGTCCCTGGGCCTGGCTGATGGAGGCATTGTGAAACCACTCAATTCCTGACACTGCCCGTCTTTGACACCTGCATTGGGTAGCAGAAGCAATACATTATTACTCATACAGAGACCCCCAGCAGCGTGTAGAGAGGCTGCATCTGTTTGTATGTAGGTACTGAGATGTATTAATTAGCCATGTAATGCAGTTTCAAAGCACACACACTGCCTAGGTCTTTGCTGTTTTGTTTACTGTGGATTTAAAGGGGTAGTTCACCCCAAAATAAAAAATCTGTCATCATTTACTCACATAAACCTGCATGAATTTCTTTCTTCTGTGTATCTTAACTTAGTGAAATAGCGATACGTTTTAATATAATCAAAGTAAATCAGCAAATGATGATCTAAATTTTGGTCTGTTCGTCACACAAAGCGGCTGAATGGTTTTGAAGACCTGAATTATATAGTGCACAAGTCATATGGACTACTTTCACAAGATGGAAAAGAGCATCATGAACATTCTGCTAAACATCTTTTTTTGTGTTTGACTGAAGAAAAATATACATATTTGGAATGATATGAAAGTGGGTAAATAATGACAATGTAATTTTTGGGTAATTATTTGCACAAAATGATAACTATTTGGCTGAACTTAATTGAATCATGGACAGTGGTTCCATATAATGGAAATTTGTTAACATGACTGAATCAAGTTATTTTTAAGTAAACTGTTACATATACTAGCAAACAAAATAAAACCTTTCTTTACACATACAATATTAGGTGTTGGCAGCCAGAAAATGGTACTGGTTATATCCATGACACTCCCACAGTGTTTTTTATTAAATTAATCTTATTAGTAGTTTCTCAACTCAAGCACTCAATCTCAGCACTTCACAAGAATGGTAACTCCCAAAACCACCAACATAACATAAAGCCTCTCAAATACCAACATAATAAAACATTAAACATTAACAAGTCCTCCCATTTCCTTATCTTGCAAAAAAACAAAACAAAGCATAAAAACACTTTATTTCAACATTTAGCCTACACTTCCTATCCATCCCAGTGCAAAGCATGATGGGAAGTGGAAAATGTGTTCCCAGTTTACACAACAAAAATAATTTCTGGAGTTTTAACTAAAATAAATTAAGTAAATTGGTTGAACATGATGAAATCTTGAAGAATTATGTTGAATTAACTTTTATTGAAGTAAATTGAACAAGCAGAATATTTTTGAGCATTCCTTTAATGGACTTGTAGATGAGATGTAATTGGTCTTACATTAAGAAATGACACTTTGCCCCTTATAAATTATCTTTTGCTTCTCTTTTCTCATAAGGCACATATTTGTCAGCACTCATTTACTGAATGCCTCATCTCTCTCTCTTTAGCTGCCATGTTTCTAGAGCACTGGAAGCGCAGACAAATCAGTCTGAACTATAGCTGGGATCTGACAGGCATGGAGGAGGAGGAGGTACGTTCACACATGAACACAGTCACATTATGTTACTCACTAATCACTAGTGTTTGCATGTCTGGATTCCTGCACAGTGGCCAAGAGCTGATTTCAATGACAGTGTTTCCTGACACTGACCAACTGAAAATAACTAATGCTGACTGTTATATGATGCGACACAATGGTGGCATCCCTATCCAAAATTATTAATGTTTTTCCCCCAACGCTGTGTATGAATGTCCCCATGTGATCTCAGCCAAATAATGGACTCACCAATTTGTTAACTTCTTGTTTCTCTAAATGCAATCTTTCCCGCCAGGAAAAAGCGAAGGTTTGAGTTTTAAGTTTGAAACTCTCTTCTTGCTGCTCTTTGAGATGTTGAGTCTTTGTGTCCTTAATTGCCCTGGATTTTTGACCTGTTTGAATGGTTTGAAGCTCTCTGTCTGCAGCTGTGCACTTGGTCTCGCACAGAGTATTGCCTCTTTGTCCTTTTCTCTTTAGGAACATCCCAGACCCAAATATGAAACGATTCTCCTTCAAAAAAAGCAGAGGAAGAAGAAAAATAAAAAGAACAAAAACGAGGTGGGCAGGTTGTTTTTTTAAACCATTTTTATATGCTTAATGCATTATGCATTTCATTAATGGCTGACTTAAAAAGATCTAAATATATTTCTTTTTGGCTTCTGGCTTAATATGCAAATGCTTTATTGAATACAGTCAAAAAGGGAACTGCCATGGTTGTAGGGGCAGAGATGAGGGGGTGCCAAATGCTGTGGGCCTTTTACACAGCCTTCCCATCATGCACTGCTCTGGCCTGAAGCATTTGGCACCGGTGCTTTGGGGCTCGTAGGCTGCGCTTTGTGTTGGTGATGCTCAAGAAAAAAAGGAAGTCATGCAGATCCAGTTTGGTTTCTGGAAAACTGAAATTTGCATTGTTAGCTAGTGTTTTGCCCTCTTTTGTCAGCGATTGTGTGACAGTTCAGATGTGTGTGTTCCAGCCTGAGAGAGGTGTGGACGAGAGTGGGGAACTGGGGAAGGACAAATGGAGGCAGAGGTTACTGTCAGCCATGGCAGCTGGGAATCCGGTAAATGGTGCTCTCTCCTTTTCTTTCTCGCTCTCATTCTCGCCTCCATCTCTCCAGAGCCTCGTTTCCACCTGCTTGTGTTACAGTTTCTATATTATACTCCCTAGTTGTGAGGTTGGAAGGTTTTTTCCCCCTTTCGAACTATGTGACAGCATCTTGACCCAGCAATCCAACTCTGTCTTTATTTTGAAAGTTGTTCTTTTTTGGTCTATTTAAGGCAAGACACTGTAGGTGAAAACCATTTTTCATGAACTATTTGGCTTTTTAAAACATATTATTTCAGACTAGTGGAAAGCAAGCATCTAAAATAAATTTTTAAGTGTTTATTTTATTGCACTTTGTCTATTTCCATAGATTTAATTAGTTTAGAACAATATATTGCGTAGATTTCAATATAGAATATGTACAATATTTAAAGGCCACATTCTCAAATTGAGCCAGAAATGGCCACTTCAGTAGCAAGGTAAGTTTATTCATATGGCACATTTCATACACGGTGGTAATTCAAAGTGCTTTACAAATAAAATAATTCTAAAATAATCACAGCATAAGAAATAAAAGTAGCATGCTTAAGAAATATTAATAACAATAAAAAGAAAAAAATTATTATAATGATAAAAAAAGAATTAAGAATAAGAAAGAGGATGCATATAAATTAGATATTACCTCATTTGTATATTTAAACAACATTTCAGAAAATGATTTTCTTAATTCTTCATGTAATCATATAATATAATCAATAAACCTTTTACCATTTCCTGTCAATAACTTTGAAAGAATGACTTATTCACACATGCACAGATGCACATTTAGTGAGAGAATTTGAGCCTGTTTAATTTGTAAATGGCCATGTGTCTGTCACATTGGCTCAGCTGGGTGGGGTGGTCATGATGGGGTCGACGGCATGAGCAATACGGCCGTCTCTCACTGCCGTAATCCTCTTGATGTAGGACGGAGCATGTCGGGCTAGTACAGTTAGATCTCGTTGGTTTGCTCTGTTGGTTTCATGTAACTAAATGTTAGTCACGACATAACAACATTAAAGGTTTCTTGTCCTTTTACCTAAGATCAAATGTAATGTCATCATTGAGCTCTGTTCAGTAGTAAATACTGCAGATCACAGCTGTATATAAAAAGCATATGCTCAGTAAATAAATATGTTGTCCAGGAAGTTCTCATTTGCTCACACATGAGGTGTGAACCTCAGAGATTTGAGCATTTCGTTCGGAAAATGTAGATTGTGCTCGTCTGTTTGACATCATTGCTTGGGGCCGTTGTTTTGCGTGAAATGCAATTGGGCAAATTAGCCCAATAAATTAGGACTTTTTAGTTGATATATGACATGGCTTGGTAAACAGGTAAACTGGCATCTGTAGCCTCATTTCTTCGTGTGTGCGTCTTGTTACGCATCCAACTGTGTCAGTAGTTCAAGCTTCTTAAGGTTTCTCAGGGTTTGTAGAACATTAATCCTGGTTTAAAGTCAAGCCTGGACTCACTGTGGGGTTTCTGGCCTTAAAGATTAGTTTTATGAATAATAATTTAAAAAAAAATCTAAATTCAATCAGCTGGGAATTAAAAGTGTTTACCAGGCTGCTACAATGAGAGCTTACATAAATTTTTTTTTTACTGGATTTGCTAAAGCTTGAAAGGCATCAAATCTTAGATAGTCAAAAGAAATAAAATAAAGGCAGTCTGTAAGAAGTAAACAACATATGCTTCAGCACACCTGTAGGTATATTGTGCTTCTCATATCGGATTTCAGATTTATATGCCGATAAAGGTCACTAAACAAACGTTTTATGCTGAATATCCTTAACACAAGATAAATTTACTTGAGAAGCGAAACTATTTAAGATAATATATATATATATATATATATATATATATATTTATTTATTTATTTATTTATTTTTTTGTCCTTGGTACCAAACTGGCAAATACTTTGTCTTTTAAGCGTAAAACTTTCTAATTATACATGTAAAATAAATAAGAAAACAAGATATAATATCTTGCAATTTTGGTTCTCAAGTAAATCTATTTTGTTTAAAAAATGTTTGTACATCATTACTTCAAAAAAATGAAATCTTTGTTTTTCTTCCAGAAATATTAGTTTGGTAAGTAGTGTAAAAATAATGAACGATTACAAAATACACAACTCGATGTCCTTCAACTGTCTGTCCTATGTCTTTCCCACTGGAAATTTTTTTATGAAAAGTTCAGCTATAATATTAGCAGCTGCTATGTCCTTCTTGATGCTCTCTGGTCTCATTGTGCATCCATAGTCCTCATTAAAACTTGTTCAGCACAGGAGGTGTGATGTTGTGGCATACATTTGGACAGTTCAGCGACCCCTGACCTAATGTGTAGCCTATTTTTTGTTTTTTTGGGCCTTTTTTGTCAAAGAGTCACAGATTTCAATTCGTCATTCGCATTATGGTGCTTTTTCTCATTCTTATGTTTAGCTACTCTGTCCCAGATATCATGGCCCACGGTCAGTCCTGACCTAGATGTTCTGCAGAACCTTAAATCAAGACTATACATCCTAATGACTTAATTCAAAACAGCCTGGACTTAAGATGAATGCAGTTTGGGTCGGCCAGACGTCGTAAACAAGGCAATTTCTGCTCAATCTTCATGTGGGTAAAAAAATGCAGTAGTTAAGTCATTATTATTATTCAGCACATACTCACTGTCAAGCAAATAAGCAGCACTCACCTGGGTCCAGTTGATGCTCATCAGTTTCTGCAAGTGATGTTGTGGTGGAAAAAACACAGCTCTCAGGATTTCATGACTAAGCGCTGACAGACCTCCCCATGTTTCTCACAGCTCATTTGTATTGCCACAAGACCCCAAAATGCTCTGAATAAACCAAATAAATGCTGGAGAGGCAGAAAGTCTGGTGAAAACCTCCAGATCACTCATTTAAGAGGCCACATGGTACGTGTGCGGTTTGGGGTGACTGCGAAGAGAGCAGATGATGAAAGGTAGTCAGTTCAGGGAGTTATAAGGAGAATGTGTCACTTATTTAGCTTGAGACACATGCTGAGTTTGTTAAAGTGTGACATGTTCTAAAAGAGACGTGCTGTACCAAGATTCAGATTCAATGTGGTTCAATGCACAGGCTGTCCAGAAGAGCGCGCTAGACTCCAGTGCGTTTGTGTGTATATGCACGGGTGTATGAAAACGTCCTCCCATGCCGGGCTGAACGCCAGACCTCTTTATTAAGCAAAGTCCTCACATCTCCATGGAGACACAAACACTTGAATCCCACTCCCTTGTATATGCATGGTTGGGTTCGCTCTTATCTTCAGCTCTTTAAAGACCTTTATCTCATAACTGTGTCATCTTGACAGCTATCTTTAGGACACATTAGTGACGTTTGTTAATAAAATGCAGCACACCGTTTGCGCGGCTAATTTTAGAGCGCAATATTCTCATCGCCTACAGAAACAAAGTCAGGGAACATTCCTCATTATCTTTGAGGAGGTGGGTTGCATTTGCTTTCTGAAAGTGTGCATCTGGCTGAGGAGGAGATGATCAACGTTTGACCTCTGACTGAGTTGTTATTTTATATTATGCTTTTTCACTGCAGATTTATTCAATTCTGCATTCAATTCCATTCACTCTGGGTCCAAAGGGCTACAACTCTCTGTGGCCAAAGATTGAAAGGTTTTGTGGCATGAAATCTTAGATATCCAAAAGATATAAGATCGAGGCAGTAGCAAGTAAACAAGATATCCTTCAGCTCACCTGTATATTGTTCTTCTATCAGATTTACCTGCCCCTAAATGTCATGTAAAAACCCTTTATGCTGAATATACGTAAAGCAAGATACATTTACTTGAGAAGCAAAACTATGTAAGATAATAACCCTTGTTTTCAGAGAATTTATCTTGAATTGTTTGTTTTTGGTACACCTAATTCTTTTAAGCATAAACCTCATTAATTATACTAAAACCTCTTAAAATAATTAATAAAACACTTGTGCAATTCTTATGCAAGGAGAGTTTACTTTGCTTTCTGAAAGTGTGCATGTGTGTGATGGAGGATTTTTCTTATTTTATTAGTAATGATATCGAAGTCTGAGCAGGAAGTCTGGGATATTTAATACACAATCAAAGTCCTCACATCTCCATGGAGACACAAACACTTGAATCCCACTCCCTTGTATATGCATGGTTGGGTTCGCTCTTATCTTCAGCTCTTTAAAGACCTTTATCTCATAACTGTGTCATCTTGACAGCTATCTTTAGGACACATTAGTGACGTTTGTTAATAAAATGCAGCACACCGTTTGCGCGGCTAATTTTAGAGCGCAATATTCTCATCGCCTACAGAAACAAAGTCAGGGAACATTCCTCATTATCTTTGAGGAGGTGGGTTGCATTTGCTTTCTGAAAGTGTGCATCTGGCTGAGGAGGAGATGATCAACGTTTGACCTCTGACTGAGTTGTTATTTTATATTATGCTTTTTCACTGCAGATTTATTCAATTCTGCATTCAATTCCATTCACTCTGGGTCCAAAGGGCTACAACTCTCTGTGGCCAAAGATTGAAAGGTTTTGTGGCATGAAATCTTAGATATCCAAAAGATATAAGATTGAGGCAGTAGCAAGTAAACAAGATATCCTTCAGCTCACCTGTATATTGTTCTTCTCGGATCAGATTTACCTGCCCCTAAATGTCATGTAAAAACCCTTTATGCTGAATATACGTAAAGCAAGATACATTTACTTGAGAAGCAAAACTATGTAAGATAATAACCCTTGTTTTCAGAGAATTTATCTTGAATTGTTTGTTTTTGGTACACCTAATTCTTTTAAGCATAAACCTCATTAATTATACTAAAACCTCTTAAAATAATTAATAAAACACTTGTGCAATTCTTATGCAAGGAGAGTTTACTTTGCTTTCTGAAAGTGTGCATGTGTGTGATGGAGGATTTTTCTTATTTTATTAGTAATGATATCGAAGTCTGAGCAGGAAGTCTGGGATATTTAATACACAATATCGGATAATTAAATTTTTCCATCTGTTTTATAATGTAATACATCCTACACTTAATCTATGGTCTGGTGTGCTCCTGCTCAAGCTGTTTATTAGAAAGATCATGATGATCTGAAGCATGTAGGTTTCTTTGTGTATAATCCTGGTCTGGTGGTCGTCTCAGATCAGAGCACATAGCTGGAAGGAGATGAGAGTGTGTTTTAAAAGGATTTCAGATCTGTCAGATGGGGCTCGCATCAGATTATTCCCTTCTGTACCCGGCGCCCAAAAGACAATCTCCTGTCAAGCTCTCTTAATGGACCTCCACCTGTTTTAAAGACCCAAAAGGCTATTTTTGTCAGTCCACCAACCTGAAATATTCAGTTGTTGGCTGTGTGTAATTCTAACACAAATGCATTGTTTTCTCTATTGTGTATGTGGCGGCTTACGTGTTCTTGGTTGCTAGCGTGGGCACTGGTGTGGTTCCGGTACTTGGTACTCTCTGGCTTACAGTATGTTTGGAGGGTGGAGGGGGTGGGGGGGATTGAGAGAATGGGGTGTATGGTGACGTCAATGTGAACACGGCATCTCTGTAAAGCGACATATGGCCGTGGAGGAAATCCCCACACTGGTGATCCTGTCACTAATTTCCCAAAGGACTTAGTGTGGGACCGTTGGGATGCTTGTGTGCTGTCCGACTGAGTATGTGTGTGTTTCTATGAGAGCATGTGGCGATCATGCGCAAACAAAACCAGAGCCCATTGACATTTTCATGTCTGCTGGGCAGATCAATGGGATGTCAGGTTGACATGAAGTCTCATAATTGAAGAGAGTTTGTCGCATCACAAAAGTCTAGAAGTTTGCTGATGTATTAGTTTTATATACACTCTTAAAAATTAAGGTTCCAATAGATTTTTGTAAAGATTCCATTGAAGAGCCATTTTGGGTTCCACAAAGAACCTTTCAGTGAACAATTCTTAAAGAACCATTATTTCTTAGTGTGAAGAACATTTTAACAATCTAAAGAACCTTTTTCTACTATAAAGAACCTTTTGTGCAGTGGAAAGGTTCTATGGATGTTAAAGAACCATGAAGTCTTTTGAGTAACATTTCTGCAAGAAACCTTTAGACAGCCAAAATAAAAGACAAAGAGGTTTGCAGAGCATCTTGACTTAAGCTCAAGGAAGTGATATTCTCCGACAGCTGTCGTACGCAGGAGGATCTGTGGAAACCCACATCTGTGCAGCGCCCAACCTATCTCACTGTCACTGAGCTGTTGAATTAATCCAGTGATCTATATCCACTATATAACAGACAGACATGGACTGCTGTCCTCAGACCAATGTCATGCAAGCATATGACCACACGTGAACCATCCTTTCCACTTTTCTAATGTGTTGTTCAAATTTTCTTAAATTAGTAAATTAGTTTCTTGATTTCATCAGTCAATTTCAAAGACTAAAACATAAATAAAATTAAATATAAAAAAATTGTTTATGCATTTGGCAGATGGTTTTTATCCAAATTGCATTCAAGGTATACATTTCATCAGTTCTTTCATTTTATTTTTAAATACTGAAATATGTTTTTAGGCAAATAGTCTGACTTGGAATTTCTTTATCAATTTTATCTCAGTACTTTTCTGACACATCAAATCTGCAATTTAAAAATAAAAAAGTGTTAATTGTTTAAAAACAATACCACCTGTCTTCTTCCTCCCTCTCTTGATCCGTTTTTACAGTTTTATGATGTGGCTGATTACATAAATTATTAATGCCATTCCTCTGCATTTTTTTGTCAGACAGCTTTTCTAATTGTTATATATTGCTAAGCTTGCACGAAATCTGCGCCTTCAGAAATCCTCAGCGGAATTCAAATGGCCCGCATTTATAAAATACTACAAATCCTTTTGCCCTAACACATTTTACCATATTTACAACCATTACGCAGATTTTCCTTCTCAAATCAGCATAAAAACAAAAAACAAGTGCACAGATCTCATACGGGACTACTTATTACATACTTGTGGCACCTCACAGCATATTCGTGGCATTAGCTTCAAATATGCATCTCTACTTGTCTTTGTGCCAAATACAGTGAGGCTTCCCATGAACTTGGCCTCTTTAGATATTAATGCATCACACAAAGTTGCATTTTAAGAGGGGATCACAGCCTGTCACTAAATGGCATCATGCATCTTAATGAAGAGTCGGTAACCAGTGAGACCGCAGTCCTGCAGTAGTTCCTCTTATTACTGGGTGAGGGTTTGTGAGCCAAGCTTGTGGATCATGATTAATGGCACAATGGCATGACCCACATTCGTTATTCTGGATACCCTAAAGCTGTGGCATCTCGAAGGCTGTGACTGGTTACACTCTGTGGCTTTTCCTGGGTGCCAGGGTTTAGTAACACACTGTGCTAGGTGGTGCTGTTTGCCTCATTATGAGCCCAATTGCGAGAGGTAGATTTTTTTCTAACTGCTGTGTCAACACACTGACCGCATTTGCTACCGGATTCTTGCAAAACCCTCTAAATCATTCATCAACAAATATGAGATGGGCTCTGTTTCAAACCCTAACTAGACAGCAACATAGGCACACTCCAAATGCAAAGTCTGCTCCCAGCAGGCAACTAAGCTGCATTTTGGTCAAATTACAATCATGCAGCATTACATATATCTTGCACAGATAAGGCAATACCAGAATGCATTGCAACAAAGTTGAGGAAGATGTTTTATTCATTACTAAAAAGCATCAGTAACCATTCCATCTAATTAAAAACAAACAATTTCACCCTGTGTTTATGTGCGCTTTGTATTCTTGTGCATTTTGCAGTATACTGTAAGTAGCTTAACAGCATTATAACCTCAGATTGTTCTAGAGAAAGGGCGTTAAATCAAATCAACCATTTTTGAAGTTTCCTTTCAGTATTGATGTCGCCTTAGATAATAGCTACAGCTAGTAAACGGTAAGTAAAGTAAGTAATTTGTGCTCTTGTTTCTTAGAAAAACTGGCTCAGACTGCTTGTCAAACACTCTTTCGATTGTAATGATGCTTTTGTAATGACATTTTTCTATGACGTAAAAGGAACATAAGCTGCCCTTTAACACTCCTGTGAGCTGATAATTCATTTCACTGTGATTTCCACAGAACTGAATAAGAATCCATTTTTCTCCTGTTGATCATCTAACACGTATTCCTCAGAGGAACATACCTCTTGATCTACTGTCCAAAGCTTGACAAAGGAAGACTAAACCCAATGGGAACAGACCACCCTCAATCCACTGCTGCCTGTGCAGACAAGTTTAGTTGCCTGCACAGTTGCACGCTGTTGATGTTAATGTTGGCTTTAATTAGGTCTGAAATAAATGCAAAAGGAGGCATATTCAGGTCATTAAAATAGGTTCTCCTTGTTGACCGGATGTTTTTGAGATATGATCTATCACTTGAATGTACAGAATGCAGAGAAGTTTCTCTAGAGGTAGTCTCGCGTAGCCAGACCTTGGCCGCTTTGAATGGCCAAGGACCGCCCAAGAGGCCATATGACTGACAGTTAAAGCAACCAATCACGTTTTGATTTGTGCCGCGTCATGTTTAGGGGCGTGGAAATGTCCCCACAATAACAGACCAGTGTGTAAAACTCTTGGACGTATTTTAAAGAGTCTATGCGCAAACTTTACATATTTCACATACTTTTGAAAATCCAGAGTTTAGTTAAAACCTTGATAAGCACTCATCATCACAGTTGTAAATACGACGCATTTCTTCTTCAATGAGGGGGATTTAGCATCATGGCATCTTTGTTTCCAGATGGAACGTTAAAGAACACGACACACACATCTCCTGAAAATTCTGTATAATTCAACCAGTCAGATGACAACTTTGAAACTCCTGAAGTCCATGGGCGTGACATCTGAGGCTGAGACTACTCTAGAGGAAGGCCAGGTTTTAATGGCCTTAATGATTCATGTTTTTACAAGTGGGCAGTCAAATTATTTCCACAATAGGCTACTATTGAGTCACTATAAAAGTAGCTGAGGTAAAAAAGCTAAATAAAAGGCATAGCTCCTAGAAAAACAGAAACACATGCATGCATACTTATATTAGTCACCTTAAATGTCGTTCTCCCTTCACAGAGTGGACATGAGAAGCTAACATGGAGGGACAGACTGCCTGGATATTTAATCAACATTTCCTCCATTCTGTTCATGGTAAGCCTTAGGCTTCCTGTCTGGTGCAACGTTTTTGTGCTTGTCCATATTTCAGTTCTCTTCTACTTCTACGTGTTCCTTTTTCCATGTAGTTTGGAGTGACTTGCTCTGCCGTCTTCAGTGTCATCATCTACCGCATCACCATCTCCGCCCTAATGGCCATGAGTCCGGATCCAGAGGTCAAGTCCAACGTACGGGTGACAGTCACAGCCACTGCTGTCATTATCAACCTGGTGGTCATCCTCATCCTGGATGAGATCTATGGCATGGTGGCTGCCTGGCTCACAGAACTGGGTGAGGTTTTACCACATGCCTCAGTATTTTTTGCTAAATCATGACTTATAGTCAACTTCCCTTCTTTCTGATGTCCTTCTTCCCTTCTTTGCCCACCCACATGACATGAATTTTTAATTGAGCCACTCCAGGAATGCTGGAGATAATGCAGCTTGTCAGTTAGCCATCACCAAGATTTCCTTAAGAGACGTTTTAATAAATGAGAGTCTCTGTGGATGTGTAGGGAAGGAAGGAAACGGATAAAGCATGTGTTATCATCTCGTGAATAAGTTATAGATTTTCCCGTGCTTCTTTGATTTTCACTCTTAAAGTCTGACCACATGCAGCCTGACTCACCCTGATGCTTTAACCTACTTCCAAACTCACCAATTCATGTTTTTTTTTATATATTTTACAAGACTTACTGGAATTTGGGATTTTTTTTTTTATCGTAATGAATGCATTGAAATATGGTGAATGTATTGCCAAAATCGCTGTCTATAATCTGTTGTGGCAGATTAAGATTTAGGGAACGCCACAAAACATGTAATCCCATCCCAAATGTAACCATATGGTCTTCTGAAAAGCTCTGTTTCTCAACCTTCAACCTGCTGAACTGAAGCTACTAAAGAGAAACATGTTGGGAGAATTTCCAAGCCACCCATGTTTGTTATACTTGTCAGAACAACAAGCTTTTAAAGTGGTGTGCAGTTTATCCAGAACATATCTGTTTAAATCCCAAATAATTTCATTCATTTGTCTGCAGAGATCCCAAAAACGGAAACCAACTTTGAGGAGCGTCTGATTCTGAAGGCGTTCCTCCTGAAGTTCATGAATGCCTATGCACCCATCTTCTATGTGGCCTTCTTCAAAGGGAGGTATGTGGACCGGTTCAGTCCCAAAATAGGATTGCTCAAATCCACCATAGTTAATTGTTGCAGGAAGAGAAAAGCACACAAACTCACACATACTCAGCCTCTAGCAAGGTGAACGTGAAGTCTGACTACAGCACAAACATCTGGCTTCAAATAAGGTAGGCATGGAACCCTTGGCATTTCCTTTAGGCATGTGACCCTTACTCGTCTTTTTTTTATTTTTTACAGGTTTGCAGGCCACCCCGGTGACTATGTTTATGTCTTCAATGACTACCGTATGGAAGAGGTGAGTATGGTTTACCTTTTGTTGCATCCTGTATGTTTGTTAGCACTACAACATCATGTTCAACATTAGGGCTGCAGGACGAATCAAAATAAATCCAAAATCGCACTGTGGCTTACTGCAAAGGCTGAGATTTGATTGAATTTATGCACTGGAAAGCACAGCACTGTGTTCTTGTCAACAAAAGAGTTTCCCACCAAAATAAACACTGAGTTTAATTTGAAAATGAAGAAATTAAGACTGCCAAAATATTAGTATTGTAATTTTACAATTGTACTAATCAGTGTTATTTTAGTATTGAGATCATTTTTACTGATATTTTGAATCCATATTTACAATTTTCACTATACAGTACAGTACAGTTGATGTTTTATCATTTTGTTTTTGTCATATATATATATATATATATATATATACATTTTATTATTGTTATTTTCTTAAATACTTCAGTCATTTAATACATTATTTTTTACTGCAAAATATTATAATAGTACTATTTCTTATTTTTTTTATATTCTTATTTAGTAATAATAATTACGATAAAAATAAAAACATTTTAAATCAGTATTTTTATCAGAAAAATTGCAATTAGTTTTTTTCCTCCCAAATCCTGCGACCCTACTCATCAACTGTCAAAACAACTTTTGCGTTTCTTCCCAGTGTGCTCCTGGTGGCTGTCTAATTGAACTCTGTATCCAGCTCAGTATCATCATGTTGGGAAAGCAGCTTATTCAGAATAACATCTTTGAGATCGGCATTCCGTAAGTTCCCACTCCTCTTCGTGGATCTCATAAAACATGCTACCACTAAACACAATAGCTTCTCTATCTGGAAACCTTAGAAAGATCATTCCTTCAGTTAAACGGTAAACACTGTTCTTGCTGAAGTTGGTTTATAGACCAGGAAATCCCAGGATAGTGAGGTAGGCTTCGCTCACACTTTCTGCTCCATTTCCTTTCTGACTTTTTTCCCCTTTATTCAGTTCCTTTTTGCACTCAGGCAAACTTTTTTGACACGCCTCTCCTTGTACTCTAATTAGCTGGATTCCTGTCTCATTTCACATGTTTGCACAAGTTGTGCATCATGTCATTAATGAACAGGTTAAAATGTGTGACTGATGTTGATGGCATACATGGAATAAAGTCTGTACTTGCAGCGCATATAAAAAGAAAAATGATCACAGGTGCCATTTGTGCAGCAAAGTGCCTAGTGTGTGTGGCATGCATGCATTAATGCATGAGCAGACGACTGCAAAAATCTGGGACAGGATTTCCCCTGGGTGGTGAAATGGATGAGTCGTGGACTGTCCGTTTTGTGGAAATCCCTTTTTAGCCTAGTCCTTCACAAGAACACCAGTTCATTTTTTTTCTCTATATCCATTTCCACACGGATCGCTTTGATGAATGACACATTCAGTTGGTTGTGAGTTATCTGATAAACATAAACTCTTTAATTTATGATTCATCATATGACTCAGTGTTTTATCTCCACATCTTTGTCACGCATTTTGGTCAATTTAAATGAACTTGTGCAGCTAGCCAGAAACACTTAAGGAACTCAAAAGGAATGCCTTTTGTTCCATGCTGCTCAGCTTAATCATAGAGTGCAACCCTAAAACGTCTTTTTACGAGCTACAACAGTAACTTGAGTTGATTGACAGCTACTCCAAATCACTAGTGCTTTATGGTAGCTCTGTCTTTTTTTGCTCTTCCTCTTGTTGTAAACCATGTGTGAGCATGTAAAAACACTCCAACATGTCTTTCACATGTTCCGCAAAGTTGTCATTGCAGATGACCTTTCGATCTCCCAGTTGTACATCAGAATGCAAAAGTAGTTCATTGAAGAATGCAAATCAAAAAAACAATATGGCCCATGAGACGAGAACTAAGTCAAACCCATTCTCCCATTCAGTTCTATAAATACTCACAAAAGTGGACTTTGGTGCAAACGTACCATGATGGAGGTCAAAATGACTCGATATCCCCCTCACGCAGAGACCTGACCTACTTAACCAATCTAATCTCCCCAGAGACCAATGCAATAATACTATATCATACTAATGTGCATGCTAAAACAGAGCCTTATACGTTCAAAAGGGTGTCTTTTTAAAGTCAGAGTTCGCCCAAAAATGAAAATTCTGTCATTTACTCACCCTCAAGTTGTTACAAACCTGTATGAGTTTCTTTCTTCTGTTGAGCACATAAGAAGATATTCTGAAGAATGTTTGTAACCAAACAGTTGACGGTTGCCATTGACTTTCATAGTATGGAAAAAAATACTATGGAAATCAATGGATACCGTCAGCTGTTTGGTTACCAACATTTTTCAAAGTATCTACTTTTGTGTTCATGTACAACAGAAGAAAGAAACTTAATGGTGAATAAATGACGACAGAATTTTCATTTTTGGGTGAAAAGAACAGTTGACGGTTGCCATTGACTTTTATAGTATGGAAAAAAATACTATGGAAGTCAACGGCTACCCTCAATTGTTTGATTACCAATATTTTTACAAGTATCTACATTTGTGTTCATGCATCTTCTTTTGTGTTCAACAGAAGAAACTCAAGGGTGAATAAATGTTGACAGAACTTATATTTTTCGGTAAACAAACAATTGTCAGTAGTCATTGTCTTCAATAGTATGGAAAAAAATATTATGGAAGTCAGTGGCTACCGTCAACTGTTTGGTTACCAACATTCTTTAAAGTATCTTCTCATCTAAAGAAAGAAGCTCGAGGGTGAAAAATTATGAGAGAATTTTAATTTTTGGGTGATCTATCGTTTTAAAATTTGTTTTAGTTGTCGTTGACAAGTTGTTGTTCACCAGTAGGCGTTTGCATGTGACTTTATGAGCATTCTCAAATGCAAATGCATTCCAGCAGCTGGTAAATGAGAGCTTTGTCACGGATGGAGGAAAGCACTTATGATACAAAGGTATGCATTAAAAAGTAATGTGCTGGAAAAGGCTGTAGTTTTGGAGACTAAATAATGCAGCAGATGCATTTGGAGGGTTTTACTGGGAGCATTAATAGGCTATAGACGGATGGACCACACGGGCCATTTCGTCCACTATATTTGGCCAGTCCAACGTAAGCTGTCATGCTCTCGCACTTGCTTTTCTGATGAGGACGCTCCAAACACAAAGCCTTGAACCTAGAGCGATGTCTGTGCACATTCTGTTTTAATGACTTGGAATGAAACCTCAAGTTAAATTGGATCAAAATTATGTTGTGATCGTGATTGCATGGTGGTAATTAACATGTTTGCTGGCATGCTTTTATGGTTACAGTATATATATCCTGTTACATTGAGCTTTTGAATTTTACAACATGGGTCCTTAGTTTATTTTCCTAATTTTCGAAACTCACTCATGTAAGCAACCATTCTTTTGTGCCTTTGAAATCCCAGACTGCTTAATGAGAAGTTTATGAGAGATTTGTCTTTAAATGTGGAATAACTCCAAACACTTAAGGTCCAGTGATCTCCACTGGCTCTTTTAGGTATTGTCGGTTGTTTTTGAGTTATAACAGACACATGTAGAACCTCTAGTCAAGCTGTTTTGTGTCTGTGCGGTTTGAAGGAAAATCCAAAACAGAGTGAACAGATGTGTACAATAATGAGATTTCCAGAGAGTCCTTCCGTGTATGTGTATATCAGACGTATCGGTCTGTCTCCTGTACGCACCTGCGTGTGGTTATACCAATAGATCATGGAACTTCTAGCCAAGATTCATGCCATTGGAAGTTCATTCTCATGCCAGATCACTGAACTGAATCACACAAAGGAATTTAAATTAAGTTAAAGCTCAGCAACCAAAAGCGAGTTTAATATGATGTTAGAAGAACAATTTCCTGAAGCAAATGAATGGTGTTTGCCTGGGCAAAAATCACTGCCATGATGTTAGAATGTGTATATATAATTTTAAATAATTCATATGTAATTTATGCATAGTTTATATCAATTTATTATATATATATATATATATATATATATATACATATATATATATATATATATATTTATATATATTATATTTTGTACACTT